AACTCAGGGAGGCAGTGAAAGATAGAAGAGCCTGGCATGCTGTGGTCCATGGGGTCACGAAGAGTAGGACACGACTTAACAACTAAACAACAACAACATTTATAAAGCTTATTAAGTACAGTGGTGCCCCACATAGCGACATTAATCCGTTCTGGGAAAAACGTTGCTATCCGCATTCCTCGCTATGCGGGGCAAAAAACCCCATAGGAACGCATTAAAACATGTTTAATGCGTTCCTATGGGGGAAAAAACTCACCTTTAAGCGAAAATCATCCAGCCGCCATTTTTGGTGCCCAGTAAGCGAGGCAACACAGCGGGCAGCCATTTTGGAACCGCCGATCAGCTGTGCTTTGGCGCTGTCTCCGAGGGGGGAGAGAGCCAGCGCCGAAGCACAGCTCATCGGCAGGGGTTTGCAAAGATCAAGGGGAAGCCAGCTTCGCAAACCCCCACCTCGGCTCTCTCTCTCTCCACCCCTTGCAGCTCCAGCCTGGGCAGGGAGACTGAGGCACTGCGCTGCCACGGCCAGAGTCCCGCCCGTTGGCTCATAGAAGCTGAGGATGTTGGCTCATGGAGTAGAGCATGGGGCGAGGGCGGCCTCCCTCTGGGGCCCCTCCGAACTCCGGGATGCCAGGATGCCGGGACACTCGGCGTGGGCAGGAGAGACAGGGGCGTCCGGGCTTGGAGGGTGGCGGAGGAGCCCCCTCTTCCCCCGTGGGGGCCCGGCACTTCCCTCCCGTCATCTTGGGTCGCTCCGGCTGCCCACCCGGCTCACCCACCCACCCACCGGGGCCCCTCCATCCTTGCATCCCTCCCTCCGTCCTGCCGGGCTTATCAGACCAGAGGAGTAGCTTGTTGCGGGCCTTGGCCTGGGAGCCGGAGTCGCCGGCCAGGAGGGTGGAGGTGGCGCTGTAGGGCAGCGGCTCACCCAGGCAGGCACGCTCCTCCAGGGGTTCACAGGGTGCGGCACGCCGGCACCACTCCCCGCCCGTCCCGGCCCGTTCAGCAGCCGC